CTAGTTACAGTAGGTGCGCGTTCACATGAAAGGGGTGGTATTTGGAACATTCGACCAATCACAAACATGGAGAAGCGTACTGACAGCGCAGCGTCATACTTCCTGAATGAAAAGTGAACTTTAATATTAGTAAAATATGGAGGAAGTTAAACTTTAAACATCCATGACTTAAACACTTTATCCAGGATAAAAGCCACAGTTGCACCTGCAAGGTGAATACAGCTGGTAAAAGAAAAAGTGTTTGAATGCGTACATTAACAGGTTTATGATATCACTGCCCCGTCTAAGACACGAGTGGATCTGACTTTAATTACATGTGTTTCGTCAACTTAATGTGTCGCTTAAAATAATAGTTTTGCATACAGCACGGCCAGATACGGCTCAGCTGACTCAGATAAGGAGATATATGATACATTATGATGTGATGTGCCGCGGACTGTACTTAATGTTACTCTGATCCGGTTACTTATGTTGTGGCAGATATTTAAGTAAGCTTTCTTAACGCTAATGTTATAATAGTCAGATTGCTCTGAAGAAGGGAGGTGATATTCTATTAATATTCACATTCACACAGTCGGTGATTTTTGCCGGCCGTCTTTCCTGCAACGGCAGCTTTTCTGTATTTCCTTTCTCCTGTAATATGACTTGATCGCTTTAAACTCTGCACACTGAGCTCTGATTGGTCAGCAGGCAGTGCTTTCACTGAGTTGAGCTCTTAGCCTGCAACCTAACCTGCTCTCGACCAGGTTAGCCGCACAGCGTAAGTTACCATGGAGATCTAGCCTGCTAAAAAGAGAACCAGCTTCGTAGGACCGGAAACCCCGAGTTTTCCCTGAAGTTAGCCGGCTAAGCGAAAAATCCTGCTTCGTAGTATACTCCCCTGGTGAGCTCCCATTGATTTCTGACAAAAACATGAACAACTTGAAAAGCAGACTTGCTTATTTAATTGATAATTATGTATTTCATTAATGTTGTCCAGCCATTATGTTTAATATCACCTCAGAAATTGGTCTTGCACCTCAAGTGTTGTTTACGAAGGTGGTTCTTCTTGTTTAGATGTCTGTTCAGCAGATGGTGTCTGGTATGGGAGAGAATGCCAGGAACGCCAGAGTCACAACCAGCACTGGGGTAAGATGCCAAATGACGGCATACAAACCAAAATGACATAATCCTGTGTTTGGTTTATTTATACCCTCTTCTATTTCAGAGCAATGGGTCTGTGAATGTGCACATTGATATGGACCAGCCTGTGCAGAGTGAGCCTCGGCTGAGGCTGGTGCTGGCCGAGAACCTGCTGAGGGACATCAATGATGTAATCCAAAGGATGGAGGTGAGAACTCAACGTTCACATGACTTAAATAGCAAAGCTCCAGAGAAATCTTATTATTAATAAAAATTGCTTTCCTTTTTTCAGCGTCGCCCGAGCGACTCATCCACTCAAACAGAGACGGCTTCTGCTGCTGCTGCTGCACCTCCTCCTCCATCATCCTCATCCACCACCTCTACTCCCTCCCCATCTGCCCAGCCCATGGACACCTCCCCACCTCCAACAACTCCCCCACCTCCACCCACCACTTCAGCACCATCTGAGGGACCAGCCCCCCACCCACAGTGAGACATCCTTTCCCTCTCCCAGATTCACATACAAATCATTCAGCATAGAAACAATAGATATCATTTCCTGAACTGCAGGAGCCATAACTTCTTATAATCGTTTTATTGAAACTAAAGTTGTTGTTTCTGTCTATTTATAGTATCTTGCTTTCAATATACAAAGTAATGCTGTTTATATTGTTCTTTTTGATTGTAATCAGCTCTGCACTCTTCTCTCCCGCTAGTCACCCCAGCCCAGCTGAGTTGGCGGCGATGTTGTCTGAGCTGCGTAGGGTGGAGGAGAGACTGCAGCCTTTCATTCAGAGAGCTCACACCATCCTGGAGACGGCCACCAACGCAGAATACAATAACAATACAGTAAGATTCAAACAGCCAAATAATAATATATAATCTTTAGTATACTAATGCATTTCAAAAAGAGACCTGCATATCCATATTGCTAATTCATTGTAGTTCAAGGAAAGAAACAACTTAATATAAATTTATTATTTTGTATTAATTAGGGATGTAACGATACCAAAAACTCACGGTACGATAGTATCGCGATAACAAGTCCACGGTACGGTATTTATCGCGATATTGAATAATAAAGGGATGAAAAAAAAAACAAAGTGACAGTAACAGACTGGAACAAGAAAACCAGTGTTTTTGTACTAGTACTACCAAACAAAGTAGGCATTTTATTTGTGTCACTGCATCTCACAAATAAACAAGGACATTTAATAATCAGACCCTGCAATAAAATAAATCAAGTTTCACTTTAGTTTTTCAAGTAACTCAACTCAAACTCACTAGTCACTCACTCAGTATTCAGACAGGTTTTTAGGAATATGAGAATGTCCACATTTCCAGGTATTTATAACTGGGATGTTTGGGCATTTACAATATCCCCTGCTCTGGAAAAAACTCTCTCGCTTGGTACTGATGTTGCTGGGACAGCAGTGGTCGCGTTAACCGAATATTGTATTTAACAATGACGCAAAAATCTGAAAGAAGTCTGTCATTTTGACAGATTAGAACAAACTCGGAACAGCGCCAACGTGCTCTATCGTGAACTGTTCAGACCCGACGGGTAATAAGGGATTATGACGGATATTTTACGATCCTGTCTGTCAAAATGGCGGACAGCGACAAAGTCTAACGCCAGGCTTATTGACAGGGCGAGATATAAATATATGGTTGGTACTTGTCAATGTCTCTAGGTGTGTAAATGTAGCCCTGTAAATACGATGTCCTTTTGTGTTATCTGTTGTTTTATTTTCATGTTGTA